GGACTTTTTTTAATTTTAGGTATAATTAAAAACTTTGAGGACGGGGTTTTGTTTTAGGGTGTGAGCTGTGCTCACACCTCTACAAAACCCGCTGTAGATTAAGTGGAAAAATGAACATATTATAGTAGATGGAGAAATTTCGGTTTCCCCTTACCTTTTATATTGTTGTGTTTTCCTCAAGGAAAACAAGTTCTTGATTTTTTAGGTTGTAAGTTATCACGTGACATATTATTGCTCAAATTGTTTTCTCTGAAAAATTGGATACCACCAAGGTGGCCAAGTGGAGAGAGTGCAAGTCTCACCACTTGGGTCCCGGGGTTTGAATCCGGGGAAAAGGGTAGTCTTCTGTAAACAAAATTTCAAATCTGAAATAATTTGGGGAAAACTCTTTTTTAATCAGAAATAAGTCACAATGTTTTACTGTATTTTGGTTTTTCCTGGTTAAATCAATTAAGTTCTTTTGGTCTATAACATCATGTCCCCAAGACCGTCTTAAAAAAAATTTTTTTATGTACACTAAACTTACATCAAATTTACCTATGGAGGGGGTTTTCCGGGGGTCAACGCCCCAGAGGCCGGGCCCTGACCAGGGTCCGGGGCTTCAGGGCCGACAACTAGGCTGTTACGCTGACCACCGTATCCCAAGTACGAACCAAGTCCGGGGTCAGGTATGACTTTAGGTGTCTGTACTCTCTTAAAAATGGTAGTTACTTTGAGAAAAGTTTGACTAAATTTTGGCCTTTGTCGTCCCACTTTGTTTTTTTGGGAAGAAAAATTTTAAAAAAAATTTAAAATCTTTTCACGATAACTTCTGAGTGCCGCATCTGATTAGCTTCAACCCTTCCATGCTGATTACTTGGTAATGCAACTTCTGAGCGGCTTCAAGCTTAATGTGTTGGTGTATTTTAGGATATTGATTTCTTTGGTCCTTCTTAAGCTTTCCGTTAGATTTGGTCTGTGTATGTCTAATTTACCATTTGTATTGAAATTTGATTATTAGTTTCCTTATGATGATCAGGGGAAGCCTCTTCTGACTCCTTTCAAATCTTCAACACATATTTAACTACACTATTAAGTTATGCCGCACTTTGTAATATTCCAGGTGTGTGCACTGAGGCACTGTGCACCGGGGTTATGTAATACCCAGATACCTTTCTCGGATCACACAGCCATGAAATCATTAGTTATAACAGGTTTTTGGGGGCAAAGACAGTACATCTTACTTCAACCCGGAACTTTGGTTTTTTTTAAAATTTATATATATATATATATTTTATATATTATATTATATTTTATTATATATAAAAATATTTTATATAATGTATAGCTTTTTGAGGGCCAAGCCACTCGGCTTAAAAAAGCAAACGCTTGCGGTAAGGTACTTAAAATTTATGAATTTCCCGTCCGATCCGTAAAATGATATTTGAAAGTAGAATAGGGAAAATGAGATAGTGTTTGAAAATTGTTGGGTTTTGTTTTATTGGTGTTGCACAAATGTGTGGGCAAATTTGACTTTGTTGGGTTGGTTTTTTTCTTTAAGTAATAATGGATGAAGGTCACACCCGTTAACTAGAAGGGATAAATAATTTGTTAGTTGAGGGGCTTGATTAGGCAGGGGCAAAGTGAGGTGGGTTGTGAAGTAGTATAGCAACGTCCACAGCCACCCTGCCCCCCCCCACCCGACAACTGCTTGTTGAAAAGTGTGGCCACTACGGGGGAACCCCCAATCGATATTTTTTCCCGTGTCGTGAATAATTAACCCAAGAGTGAGTGCCCTACGGAACTATCCCTGTTACCCCTGTTCATCAGTCCCCTTCAGTTAGTATTGGTAAAAGTTAGGATCCATTTGGGTTTTAAAGGGTTTTAGTCACCGTACATTCATTAAAAATAATTTCTTCCGGAAACAAGGAATAAATTAAGATTATATATCATACAAAAAATTCTTTTACAGTATATATGCTGATTTTTTTTTTTTAACAGAGTGGGTCAAATAAGCCCCCCCCTGCCCTACAAAAAATTATTTTCCAAAAAAAAAACTAAGAATTGACGGAAACAATTTTTGGGAAAATTAACATGAAAAACATTTGTTCCCTTTTCATTCTGGTCTTAAATTTGCAACTTGCTGAAATTTAAAGTATGGTAATTTAGCTTAACCCACCCAACCCATCTTTGGAAAAAATTTTTTTAGTATTTCTGTATTTAAATAATGAAATACATTAATTGGGTGATGTTTAGACATGGGCGGGGTTTTTTCAACATGATGTCCCCAAGGGGTGGTCTAGAGAAAAGCAGTGGGGGAGCCACCCGGGGAAAAGAGGGGGAGGAGGAATGGTTTTTATATTTTTTTTGGCTACTTTTCACAGTGACCCTAAAAAAAATTTACCCTGTACTAAAAATTTTGATTTTTCAGGTCCCTATTTTTAAGGTACCAGATTGAAACGGGCTTAAAACCCCGTCCACCCGACAAATGCTTAAATGTAGAATGGGGTGAAAAGGGTTTCCTTTTGTGAACGTAAAAATTTAATCTAAATTGTCAGGTTTGGTTAAAAAGCCTCATATAACACTTGAGCCCCCCAAATACCCTGCTGCTACTTTTCATTTCATCTTCATCTCAGGATTACTTTATGGGGGGTGATAAAAGTGGTTTAAACGAGTGTATTTATATGCTATTTTTTTTTTTCTTTAAGAAATGGGGACTTTTTTATGTTTTTTGCACGTTGTGTGTCTGTGTGTACTCACCCAATTTGGTTGCAGGGGTCGATTTATAGCTCCTGGCCCCGCCCTTCACCGGGCGTACTAGGGCCTACCTGCTCCCTGAGCTTTATCGTAAATCTTCTTTAAAACTGTGTATGGTACCTGCCTCCCTACCTTATTAGCAGACTTTCCCTTCTTGACAACTCTTTACTAAAAAAATACTTCCTAAATCCCTGTGGTCACTGGTCTTCAGCTTCAATTTTGGGCCCCTTGTTGGTGTCCCATCCTGGAACCTCCCGTCCCTGTCCACCCTTTTCTATTCCCTCGTATTTTATGTGTTATCATGTTCCCTGTCTCTCCTGTCCTCCATGTCGTTTGGTCGAGTTCCTTAACCTGTCTTCGTAGGACAGCCCCCCTTTGTCGGGATAGGGTCTCGTTTCAAACCCTTTCACTTTCTGTAGTTTTTCCGACGTACCGGTGTACGGGCCGGAACGACTCCCTTTCTGAGATTCAAAAGCTATTCTTAGTTCCCAGTCGCCCATATGGCAGAAAATTTTTTGTGGATTGCGCCTGGGGATTGTCGGATTATACCACTCGAGTACTTTTCTTTAGTGGAATTTGTAGTCTTTGGCCCCCTAGACTGTACGTGTGGTTGATTTTCTCTTTTGAACATTGAAAAGTTTGTGCATCGTGTGTGTGAATTAAAAAAATATATATATTAATATATATATATATATATATATATATTAATATTTATATTAAAATTATTAAAAATTTTAAAATTAATCCCTTTTAAATTTTTTTTATATTTTAAAATATATTTTTTATTAATTAATTAAATTTTTTTTAATTTGACCGAATTTTAAAATTTTAATTTTAAATAAGAAAAAAGCCTACCCAAAATAATATATTTTTGGTTTTTTTCGTAATTTTTCAAAAAACCGGAAGAATTTTTTTCATTAAATAGGGAAAATTTTTAAAATAAATTTTCAGTTATTAAAAGGGGCTTTATTTAACCAAAATGGAAGCTCCTTTTTCCCCGTTTTTATAATAAGTTTGTGTTTGTGGGAAATTTATTATTAATAAATTTTTAAAATAATAGAATATTATTTATATAATAAATTATTATTTATATTAAATATATATATTATATATTTATTATATTAATTAAATATTTTGTAAACGTGAGGAGGGGTTTAAAAGGGGGTTTAAATATACATTTGGGGACTCATTCCTTTTTAAAGGGTATTTTTTTAAAATAGGATTAAAATTAAAAGTATTAAATGAGACCCATCCTGTATATACAGTGAGAGACTCTTCGTGTATATACAGTGAGAGACTCCTCTCAGTGTTATACGTGAGATTTTTCCCCTCGGTTTTCTGGGCCCCCCCATGTTTGTGGGCCCTCTCGATTTCGGAGGCTCACCCGGGATAAATGAAGGGGTACTCATGTAAACGGGAAACCCCAGTGAAAAAGGGGAAATTTCAGGGAACTAGAGCCACCGGTATTTTTGGGGCCCTAGTGTTTAAAATAACCCTTTTCAGGAAACGGGGAAAATCTCCGGTTTTCTAAGCCCCTGTAAATACTGGGGAAATCCCCTCATGTTTCGTCTTTCCTTATTACTGAAGACCTCTCAGGTTAACAAAAACTTTTTCTTTCCCTGGGAAAACACTCAGTGTTACAAAACTCCCTTTAATGACAACACTTTCCTTGCCCCGCCCCCCCCTTCTGCCCCCGCACTAAACGGGGGCCCCCCATGTATATACGTGAAAACCCTCTCTGTATAACAGTAAAGGACCCCCAGTGTATATACATGAAGACTCATTCAGTTATATACAGTGAGAACTCTCTCAGTGTTTACAGGAGAGACTCCTCTCATGTATATACAGTGAGAGACCATCCAGTGTAATAAGTGAGAGACCATCTCAGTTATATACAGTGGAGATCATCTCTGTTATACAGTGAGAGACTCATCCATGTATATACAAGTGAAAAGACTCATCTCAGTGTATATACAGTGAGAGACTCATCTCAGTGTATATACAGTGAGAGACTCATCTCAGTGTATATACAGTGAGAGACTCATCTCAGTGTATATACAGTGAGAGACTCATCTCAGTGTATATACAGTGAGAGACTCATCTCAGTGTATATACAGTGAGAGACTCCTCTCAAGGAGTGGTTACTAACTTGTGACTGATTCCTTGCCCTGCTGCCCGCCCGTATGCTGCCCCTGCACTGTGTGTGTGTGGCTTCTCGCACCCCTGGTTCGGCCCACGCCCCTCCGCACACCGCCCACCTACAGGATGAGGGCGTTACCTACATGGTAAGCGGGAATACGCCCACGCTCGACGCTGATGCTCAGGCCAACCTAGCCCACGCCACCCGTGTTTCCCCGGCCACGGTGAGTGTCCTACCAATACCCACCCTCTCCAGGACCCGCGCCCACTCCTACGCCCGGATCTATGCCCGCTGCCTAGACCCATACCTTGAACTTCGCCCTCACCATCGCCCTCTGTCCCGTCTTATACCTTATTCCTACCCTGATAAACACTCTCCATCTGCCTTGAACAACACTCTCACCCTGCCCTGATCCACGCTCAGCTTGCCCTGACCAACACTCCCTCTACCCTGACCAACACTCTCCCTCTGCCCTGACAAACACTCTCACCCTGCCCTGACCAACACTCTCCCTCTGCTCTGACAAACCCCTTCACCCTGCCCTGACCAACACTCTCCCTCTGCCCTGATCCAAAACACTCCCCCCGCCCTGGACCAACACTCTCCCTCTGCCCTGCCCCACACACACACACCCTGCCCTGACCAACACTCCCTCTGCCCTGATCCACACTCTCACCCTACCCTGACACTCACACACCCACACTCATTCCCTGCTCAGACACATCGTTCCACTACCATGACCCACACTCAGTCCCTGCGCTGACACATCGTCCCACTACCATGACCCACACTCACTTCCTGCGCTGACACATCCTCCCACTACCATGACCCACACTCGCTCCCTGCTCTGATACATCCTCCCACTACCATGACCCACACTCCAAGCTCTGACACATCCTCCCCCTACCATAGGGGTCCTGATCAGCAGAATGCATGTACCTGTGAAGGTGTCTTCACAAAATACAACTTCAACAACAAGAACATCAACTGGGACCAGGTAAACCATGTCCTAAACGAAACATGTTGGGAAGATGTCTTAAATGACATGGATCCAAACCAGTGCCTTGAAAGGATCAACTTCCTGGTAGCCGAAGCATGTTCTAGGTATATTCCCCTAAGAAAGAAGAAGAGCAGGAGTAAACTGGAGAGAAAAAGACGCTCCCTCTACAGAAGACGACGAAGAGTCACTGAGCTCCTCAGGAGTGCTAGAACATCTGATACACGAAAGGGGGCGCTGACCAGGGAAGGGGAAACTATCGAACTTATGCAAAACTGACTCTTACAGGAACCAGGAGAGGCGGGAGGAGCTTAAAGCTATTAGTGAAATTAAAAAGAAATTAAAAAAAAATTTTTTTTTCATATGCCAAAAAAAAGGCAAATACCACATCTAGAAATCGGGCCCTTACCAGACAGGTTGGGACTTGCACAGATGACAACAAGGAAATGAGTGAAATATTGAAATCCCAGTACGCCCCTTTTGTTTTTAGTGAACCACTAATCGGTCTGAGGATCGACGACCCAAATGATTCTTAATAAATTTGAGCCTCAAAACTCCATAAATGATGCCAGATTCCGACATTACCCAAAACTCCGATGATTTCCCGAAAAAGCCATTGACAACATGCCTATGCACTCAGCCCCGGGCCCAGACTCGTGGAACTCTGTTTTCATTAAGAACTGCAAGAAACCCCTCTCGCGTGCCCTAAGTACACTATGGAGGAGGAGCTGGACATGGGTGAAATTCCACAGTCACTTAAAACAACGGATATAGCCCCACTCCATAAAGGTGGCAGCAAAGCATTAGCTAAGAACTATAGACAGTAGCTCTGACGTCCCACAAAAAAAATCTTTGAAAGAGTGCTAAGAAGCGGGATTGCAAATCACCTGGATTCCCAAAATCTGCACAATCCAGGGCAACATGGGTTCAGGGCAGGTCGCTCCTGCCTCCACAACTACGGATCACCTATGACAGGGCCCTTTGGATGCACTGGAAGAAAATCAGAATGCAGATGTAATATACACAGACTTTGCAAAAGCATTGACAAATGCGATCAGGGCGTAATAGCCCATAAAATACGTGCTAAAGGAATAACTGGGAAAGTGGGGAGATGGTCTTCAACTTCCTAACAAATCGAACACAAAGAGTATGGTCACAGAGTTAAATCGGAGGCTGCCATAGTGAAGAGCTCTGTTCCACAAGGCACAGTACTCGCCCCCATCTTATTCCTTATCCTCATATCAGACATAAACAGAGATATACGCCACAGACCGTATCATCCTTTGCGGATGATACTGGGATCTGCATGAGGCTGTAAACTGCTGAGGACGCGGTTAATCTCCAAGAAGATATAAACAAAGTTTTCCAATGGGCAACGGTAAAAAATATGATGTTCAATGAGGACAAATTCCAACTACTCCGTTATGGAAAACTGGAGAGATAATAACTAGAACAGAGTAACTACTGACTCCGGCCATACAATAGAGTGGAAAACTAATGTAAGGGACCTGGGAGTAGTAATGTCTGAGGATCTCACTTTTCAAGGATCACAACAGTGCCACGATCCCCACGTGCAAAGAAAATGATAGGATGGATAATGAGAACTTTCAAAACGAGAGATGCCAAGCCCATAATGATCCTTTTCAAATCACTTGTTCTCTCTAGGCTGGAATTACTGCTGTACATTAACATCTCCATCAAAGCAGGTGAAATCGCAGATCTAGAGAGTGTACAGAGATCCTTTACTGCACGTATAAGTCTGTCAAGCACCTTAACTACTGGGAACGCTTGGAAGCACTTGACTTTTACTCGTTGGAACGCAGGGGGGAGAAATATCATAATCTACACTTGGAAAATCTGGAAGGAATGGTCCCAAATCTGCACACAGAAATCACTCCCTACGAAAGTAAAAGACTGGGCAGGCGATGCAAATGCCCCCAATAAAAAGTAGGGGCGCCATTGGTACACTAAGGGAAAACACCATAAGTGTCCGGGGCCCAAAACTGTTTAACAGCCTCCCATCAAGCATTAGGGGAATTGCCAATAAACCCCTGGCTGCCTTCAAGAGAGAGCTGGACAGATACCTAAAGTCAATGCCGGATCAGCCGGGCTGTGGCTCGTACGTTGGACTGCGTGCGGCCAGCAGTAACAACCTAGTTAATCATCGGGAGGCCTGGTCATGGACCGGGCCGCGGGGGCGTTGATCCCCGGAATAACCTCCAGGTACCATGAGCCACACTCACTCCCTGCGCTGACACATCGTCCCACTACCATGAGCCACACTCACTCCCTGCGCTGACACATCCTCCCACTACCATGACCCACACTCACTCCCTGCTCTGACACATCCTCCCACTACCATGACCCACGCTCCCTGTTATCTGACACATCCCCCACTCAATGAAACCCCCACTCACTCCTGCTCGACACATCCTCCCACTACCATGACCCACACTCACTCCCTGCTCAGACACATTCTCCCACTACCATGACCCACACTCACTCCCTGCTCAGACACATCCTCCCACTACCATGACCCAACTCACTCCGCTCTGACACATCTCCCACTCCATGCCCACTCCCCGTTCTGACACATCCTCCCACTACCATGACCCACCCTCACTCCCTGTTCTGACACATCCTCTCACTACCATGACCCACACTCACTCCTTGCTCAGACACATCTACTACCATGACCCACACTCGCTCCCTGCTCAGACACATGGTCCCACTACCGTGACCCACACTCACTCCCTGCTCAGGCACATCCTCCCACTACCATGACCCACACTCCCTACGTTGACACATCCTCCCACTAACATGACCCACGCTCCCTGCGCTAACACATCGTCCCACTACCATAACCTACACTCACTCCCTGCGCTGACATATCCTCCCACTACCATGACCCACACTCCCTACGCTGACACATCCTCCCACTACCATGACCCACACTCCCTACGCTGACATATCCTCCCACTACCATGACCAACACTCACTCCCTGCTCTGACACATCCTCCCACTACCATGACCCACACTCACTCCCTGTTCTGACACATCCTCCCACTACCATGACCCACACTCCCTGCTCTGACACATCCTCCCCCTACCATGACCCACACTCACTCCCTGCTCAGACACATCCTCCCACTACCATCACCCACACTCACTCCCTGCTCAGACACATCCACTACCATGACCCACACTCACTTTCCCTGCGCTGACACACCATACCCCCTTACTCCAAAATCCTCTCCCATTCCCAAAACCCCACACACACAACCACACACACACACACACACACACACCACACACACACACACACACAAAACACACACACACGCACACGCACATACGCACACGCACACAGGCACGCACGCACCACGCACACACACACACACACACACACACACACACACACACACACACACACACACACACACAACACACACACACACACACACACACACACACACAACACACACAAAGGTTTGAAACAAGACTAGTCCCAGAGCTAAGGGATATGTCCTACGAGGAGAGGTTAAGGGAAATCGACCTGACGACTCTGGAGGACAGGAGAGATAGGGGGGGGGGCATGATAACGACATATAAAATACTGAGAGGAATTGACAAGGTAGACAAAGCCAGGATGTTCCAGAGATGGGACACAGCAACAAGGAGACACAGTTGGAAGTTGAAGACAAAGATGAATCACGGGGATGTTAGGAAGTATTTTTTCAGTCACAGAGTAGTCAGGAAGCGGAATAGTTTGGGAGGCGATGTAGTGGAGGCAGGATCCATACGCAGCTTTAAGTAGATGTATGATAAACCTCATGGTTCAGGGAGAGTGACCCAGTAGTGACCAGTGATGAGGCGGGGTCAGGAACTATGAATCGACCCCTGCAACCACAACTAGGTAAACACACACACCACACACCCAAGGAAAATCAGCCTGACGACACTGGAGGACAGGAGGGTCAGGGGAGATATGATAACGACATATAAGATGCTGCGAGGAATTGATAAGGCGGACAAAGACAGGATGTTCCAGAGATGGGACATAGAAACAAGGGGTCACAATTGGAAGTTGAAGAATCAGATGAGTCAAGGGGATGTTAGGAAGTATTTCTTCAGTCATAGAGTTGTCAGGAAGAGGAATAGCCTAGAAAGTTACGTAGTGGAGGGAGGAACCATACACAGTTTTAAGATGACGTTTGATAAAGCTCATGGAGCAGGAGAGAGAGGACCCAGTAGCAATCAGTGAAGAGGCGGGGCCAGGAGCTATGACTCGACCCCTACAACCACAGATAGATGAGTACACACACACGCATTCCCCCCCTCACACACACACACCTTCACACCCCAACACACACACACACACACACACACACCCCAAAAACACACACACACACACACACACACACTTCACACACTTCACACACCCCACACA